TTTTACACAGCGTGGGAAAATTCCATAGAACTTTCCCACGCTGTGTAAAATGACACAGAGCACTGTCATTGGATGGCTTGAAATCCGTCCAATCACAGTGCTCTGTGTCATTTTACACAGCGTGGGAAAATGTAACTGTCCCACGCTGTGTAAAATGACACAGAGCACTGTGATTGGATGGATTTTATTTTACACAGCGTGGGAAAGTTCTTTTGAATTTTCCCATGCTGTGTAAAATGACAAAGAGCACTCTGATTGGCTTAAACCCACCAATCAGAGTGTTCTTAGCCTAATTGCAGGGCGTGGCAAGTCTTTATAAGCCTTCCCCCGCCCTGCAGAGCTTAGTCTGCGCGGAGCCCTCCATGGGTGAAGATGGATTATTTTTTTGTGCTCGGGCTTTTTCTTTTTCGTTGATTTTTTTTTTTTGCCCTCGGGATTTTTATTTTATTTTCAATTCGACGGTTATGATGGTTTTTTATTTGGCCTTTTTTGGGGCTGAAAAATGAAGATTTGAGAAAAAAGAAGACGTCGAATGGTAAGTTTAATTTTATTTTACAGGTTAGTTATTTTATTCCCCCCTCACTATTTGTTAGGGTGAGGGGGGTAGGTAGGGACTTTTTTATTTGGGGGGGGACCCCTAGTCACCTTGGGGGGGGGACATTTACTTAGGACCCCAACCCGCAGCCCAGGGGTAGGGGCCGGGGGGGAGGACAGTAGGTCCCCCCCCTTCATTATCTTTATGGCCCCCACCCACCGCCCAGGGGTGGGGGCCAGAGGGGGGTGGACAGTAGGTCCCCCCCCCTCATTATCAATATGGCCCCCACCCGCCGTGCATTCATCATCCTGATGAAAGTCTGTGATACAGACTGAAGCGTTGATTTTTATTTTTTTGTGCTCGGGTTTTTTCTTTTTCGTCTGTTTTGTTTTTTTTAGTTCGACGGTTATGATGGTTTTTTATTTGGCCTTTTTTGGGGCTGAAAAATGAAGATTTGAGAAAAAAGAAGACGTTGAATGGTAAGTTTAATTTTATTTTACAGGTTAGTTATTTTATTCCCCCCTCACTATTTGTTAGGGAGAGGGGGGTAGGTAGGGACTTTTTATTTGGGGGGGGACCCCTAGTCACCTTGGGGGGGGACATTTACTTAGGGCCCCTACCCGCAGCCCAGGGGTAGGGGCCGGGGGGGGAGGACAGTAGGTCCCCCCCTCATTATCTTTATGGCCCCCACCCGCCACCCAGGGGTGGGGGCCGGGGGGGGAGGAGAGTAAGTCTCCTCCCCCCCCCTTCAACCAGATAGAGTCCCTGTGTGTTTTAAAATTCACCTGCCCATTGAAGTCTTTGGCGGTTCACCGGGTTCGCCTGGTTCGCGAACATTTGCGGAGGTTCGCGTTCGCGGTTCGCGAACCGAAAATTTCATGTTCGCGACATCACTAGTAAACGGCTTGCACTCATGGTCTTTTCCTGTTCCTGATGAAAGTCCCAGACGTGGACTGAAACGTTGA